ATTGTGTCCTAATTTCATTGAAAATAATGCAAATTATATATTTCTAGAGTATAAAGAAATTGTAAACCTTCTATGATGTTCAAAAGTCTGCCTCTCTGATACTATCCTTATTAATCTATACAAATATTATTCGCTTCAAATCTTTTTTTTTTGGTGAAAATTTGACTAAAATTTTAAAAACTACGCGGTGAAACTTGTTCACTTTATTCATTAGAACATGACTCAAGTCGTTATTTTCAAAATATTTGACAAAGGTTTGTTTGTATCATCTGTCCTTAAGTTTAAATGCCTTTTTTGTTTAATGTTGTCCCTCTAGCTATAATATAATTGATTGTATAAAATTATTTAATACGTTTCTTTTGAAAAATCATCAATGCTAAAGCAGCATTTTATATAAGTTAGCAGAGGATTTATGAATCTAAAACGTAACAGTTTAAAATTACAGCCTTCCATTTTCCTACACTTGCAGGAAATGATAAAGTTTCATCTACTATGTACAAATAATTCACACAAAATAGAAAAAAAAGATTTTATGAAAATATCAAAAACTTTGTCCATTGAACATTAAGTGCATAATTTGTCATATTGTTTGTATATATATTTATACATGTATGTTTTCTCGTTGTTTGTGAATATGTTTGCATGTATATGTTCTTGTTGTTTGTAAATATATATACATGTATGTATTTACATGTAACTGTAGAAAATGATCCCTCAAAAACTTTAAAAACTTATTTTCAGAGCTACTGAAACAGTCCTTGTGTTTGGTGACTATATTCGAGGTTATTTATGTATAGAACTATGGAGAGTTTCCCGCACAAAGTATTATTATTACTACGGAACGGGTAAATAAATTATTGTAAAATTAATAACTGATCGAAAGTAAGCATTTAAAAGGTAAAGATAAAAAATATTTATTAATTTAAATCAACTCCATGCACCATACACAACTCTGATAAAAATCACACACCCACAGAAATGCAGAGATGTGTCAGCTGACTAGGACTATTAAGCAACATCTGTCGTCCTGTCATATCCGCCGTTACATGTACCCTAATGTAAAAATCTTTGTTTTGCCCCAAAATAATGTTATCTTGTACAAGGTTGAGAAAAAAAGTACCCCCAAATTTTTTTAAATATTTTTACAATGAATGATAACTATGACGGAATACCCAGGTATTTACATTCGATATGTTTTTCTAGTAAGCAAATTGTGAAATTGATTTGAAAACCATTTTCGTGTATACTCACGCAGAAACATTGCGCTAACATGACATCACAATCAGGTTGTAGCGACGTTAATAAAAAATGCAACGATATAGGGCAGCGATAAATTCAAACATTGAGTATATTTTTTATGCTTTAAAACATGTAAAATGTAAATATAAGGAATGTTTTTAAGTTCCGTTATGTTAGCGCGCTTCCGTTATGCTAGCGCGCCTCATAAAATATGCCTACGTAACAAGTCTGTGTGATTTACACACCATTGAATTACACAAAACTTTAGAACATTCCTTAATTAAACGTTACTAGGATTGAATTACTTTTAAATGAATAAATTATGTTTAACTTATTGTCTTTGTTTATTATACAATTCAGGTTTGTATGAAATAGTTGTATTTAAAAGTAAATGTTTATCTCAGCTAAAGAGATATAATAGACTAATACATTTGGTTGACCATTTTACAACGAAAGACGATAGTCTTTAAAAAACGAACAATAAAAAAACTCTTGTGTGAGATGTAAGTGCTCATTGGATTTTTCCCAAATACCGTATAAGTGGAAATTTTAGCGAGACGCAAATTTAGCGATTTGTCCTTAAAAACTGGTAATTTATTTTTAGCGAGATGTTATTTTAGCGATTTTAAAATGCATATTAATGAAGCTGTTGCAAATAAAACGCAATTAATTTTTAGCGATATTCAATTTTAGCGATCTCGGCACCCTCGCTAATAATGCCAAAGTTATATCCTCGCTAAAAATTCTACTTATACGGTATTAAAGCATTTATTCTCTGTATAACCTTATTTATTGTCCTTGAGCAACCTCTTTGATGAACAACGACCATATTAAAGGAGTAATTGATATCCTTAAAAATGGGACGTTAGAAGATATTTTTGGCATAACAGAACCATACAGAAAGTCATCGTTCGTGATGCTACTCAAAGATGGTAAAATTGGCAACTTATTATATAGTTTTAATTTTGTATATGCGTATGTAAATTGGGAAATGTTTTATGCTCTTGAAAAATGAAATTGATCTTTATTGTGACGTTTCATTCTGCTCTTATCTAGCCAGTTTAGTCACTTTTTTACTTTTAGATAAATGTACTTAAATTATGAATTTCCACGCATTAAGAAAGATTAAGATGCTTTTCTGCACGTGGGTACATATATTTGATCTAGTCACACATGGCAATTATCAGTTCATCCTTATCTTTGCTATCAGGCTGTGAATAGAGTTATTTAAAAATGTAATTGAGTATTCTGAACATTCAGTAACATTGTATATATTTTCTTATTAAAATATCGATTTCATTTTCTAAATATAATGTAATATAACTACGTCTTTACAAAGTTATTTTAAAACTAGGTAAATTTAAAACTTACAAAGAGTAAATACTCTTCAGTCACATTCGCAGTCGATTTAATACTTTGAGATTGAATACTGTTCGTTATCTTCATATCCATCCTATTTTGAAATAATTTATTCGTCTTAATATTCTTGATTTAAATATATACTTGAAAAACATTTTTGTTTTGGTGATAAAGATTTTACTTTTCATTCCTACGTCGATATGATATATCCAGGAGAGCTTGAGATAAAGGATACCACATAGTCTCACACGTCTGTTTCATACTTGGATCCTAGTATTTTTCTTAAAAAGGACATTAATGGTAATCTAACAACCAAGCTATATGATAAACTTAAAGACTTTAACTTTTCTGTCGTCAACTTCCCTTACTTATGCCGAAATATACCTTCATCACCCGCATACGGAGTGTATATATATCTCGGTTGACTTGATACGCAAGAGAGCATGCTCTACGTATGAACAATTTTCTAAAACGAGGTAAATTATTGACAAGTAAATTGACGAAACGGTAAATGCGTAATTGTGCGTTAAAATAGGAAATGGTAACTGCGTTAAAATGCGTGACTACGGGGAAGGGGTTAAAAATTTAAATTTTCTATTCCGCAAAGATTTAATTCTGTAGATCTTTCATTAAAAAACCTATTCTATATCTGTAGCAGTGTTTAGGAATGGAGTCCTTAGAAACTTCTGAAGGGCGTTGCTGGAGTACAATTTTATGTATTTTACATTTGTCTTTAAAGGTCAATATGCAAATCAAGGTATTGTCAAAAATTATTTAAATGATTTTCCTAATCACAAGAGGGTTTGACGTGTATCCCAACTTATGTATGTTAATCTCCACACTTACAAATACAGTGTATGTACATCGACTATTGCTTTGAAACTTTTAATTATAAATTAACTTTTAACCAATAAAAAAATCTACAAGATTATCAATCAAATGTTCAACCTTAACTACAATCCTGCTGTACATGTCATTAATGAAGGTGTGAATATGATATTGATATTTATCACATATTTTCCCCTTTATCCCGTTGATATAGCTCATGTGATATCGTTTTCGTATCAACACTATGTATTCCTACGCCGCGTGACGTAATGTAAATAAACAAATACATGTGTATTATTTGATGTATTTTAACAAGATTTCATTCATGAATTAAAAACATAAGTGCTGAAATATTTTCTTTCTTTTATATTTGTACGAACAATTTCATACAGAGTCATTTTATATATTACGTTATTTGGTTCGAGGTAACCGAAAAGGAACATTGAATTAGAAATAACGACAAAATACACATTTATAGTGAACAAGAATATGTGATAAAAAGAATCTCCCATGGTTTGTGATTTGATATGATTTTTATCCAACTCGTTGTGTGTTTTTATCCCCTCGCCAAGTCTCGGGGATAGAAAACACACAACTCGTTGGATAAAAATCATATCAAACCACAAACCATGGGAGATCCTATATATTCGCATTAAATAATTCATTTTAAGATATTTCAAAATAGTAAAAATTTAGAGAACCACAATCACAATTCTTCAAAATTTGACTTTTATGGAGGCAAAAATATGCAATATACCGAATATAGTTCTTTATCAAAAGGGATATCGATGAAAAAATAATATGGGTTTTAAAATCCCAACCAAAAAGTAATTGGAGGTCAATTAAAAAAAAAGAAAAGAAACTATTTTTTTTTTTCAATTTCAGTAATTACAATGTGAATCAGATAATTACATGTATTGTATGAAATTATCACAGCTTATATCCCTAGCTCGATTTCAAAGGTAAAATTCCTTTTCTATATGTTAAATCTTAACTTAATTAATTATTCACTGGTATACTAAACATCATAAAATTCTAAAAATACATTCAAAATGTGGTGTGAATCAAATGTTGAAATTTAAAAACTCCACGAACTCTACGGGACTTTAAAAAGTTAAAATAAAGAGTTATTTCACCGAATTCAATAAAATAACGAAACATACACTTTTTCAATACACGTTAGTCCAGTTTTTGATAGCATAGACAGCTATATTTTAATATAACTCATAATTGTTTTTCTTTCCTTGTCATTGGTCATGTGCAAAATAATTAGATTAAAAACATTTTCATTGTACACAAATGTACCCTGGAAATGATATTTTAAAAATGCTTGAAATTCTAATTAACCAAATTGTACATAGAATACTAAGATCAAATCTGCCGACGACAATCTCTCGGAAATGCCTTGTTATCGGCAATCCTATATCTGAATTTATATCAAGGAGAATTAATTAATTAATTTGAACTAAAGAGGAAATCACTTCACTCGACATATAGATAGATATAGAGATAACATTCAGTTATATAACAATATTCATTACTTCCATTCATAAGTCGATATATAGCCCTGTAATAATAGATACTGCAGGGAGTCTGAGACATCTGTTTCATATTTTGATATTTTACTTAAAAGTCCGTTAATGGTTACCAAACAACAAAACTTTGGAACAATTGATTACTTTACTTTTTCTATCATTAACATCATTTACTATTCAATAATGCCTTCATCACCTGAATAAGGAGTTACAGTAATATCTCTCAGTTGATTCGAGATTCAAGAGAACGCCCAACGTATTAGCAACTTCTTAAACAAGGTAGGTACATGTAATTTTATGTTGTTGCGATTTATATACGGTGAATTTGAAATAAAAGATATTACAAAGACTGACATACTTGTTCCATATTTGATATTTTACTAGAAAAAGATAAAACAAAAAGTAATCTAACAAACAATTATCATGATACAAGTGATGGTTTTAATTTTTCAATTTTCAACTTCGCTTAATTATTTTTATAACAATTATATATTTTGCATCTGCATCTTAGATATAAGTACCACAGTTCCATACTCAAGTACGCAAAATTATAGCCCAAATACAAACAGTTTCCAATACAAGGAATAAAATATATATACAGATTCTAACAAAAGCATAATTGTTCAAGATTTATGGTCTATACGATAAACTTATCAGAAAGAGCGATATATGGTAAGTGTCTCAATTGGCCCCTTAAAATGAATATCTTAATTTTACTTTATATATAGCTTTAATTTGTACAGCTATATATGCCACCTTTTTTGGTCATTTTCATTTTGATCAAAATGCCGTTATTTCAGAAATATGACATCATAAAAATCACGTTTTCCCGCCATTTTAGCATATTTTGTATAAAACTGCTTATTTTCAAGCAGTTTTTCTTCCAGAAAATATAGAGCGCAGCCTAGAACAAGATTTATATTTTTACCAAAGATTTATCTTTGCAATACTGATTAGTGACAGAAAAATTATGTATGTTCTCCACTGCGCTCTATGTTTCCCATAGGAAAAAACCATCAAGAAAAAGGCATATTTTTGGCTTTTTGTTAGATAGCAAAAATAGCATCATTTCTCATGTCATTTACAGCCAGAGAGTGCATATAAATGTGAAAAATATATTAGAAATATTTCTTATATAATCTCTTCTTCCAAATAAATATCAATTAAACATATCTGAATGTCATTCTAAAATGTTGATTTTTAGGGGGCCAAAATTGGCTCTTATCATATATACTCCTTCACAATTTTCTATCAAGTTGAATACTGACAGCTTTTTCTTTAAATAGAATAAATAAGGTCACTATTTACATAATTGATAGTGAACATGTTTTTGTTTATCATGTCTAGTACACGGAAGGGCTAATCGATCTACGGAGGATGTTCACCCCAACATGGTACATTAAAGAAGTTTATTGTTTGCCCTGCTTTAAATTGAATGTTTTAATAGACACATGAGCTTGATCATTGCTCGCTCATGCAATTTTCGCAAACTTGTTTATTTAGACTTAGTGTTGATGAAAATCAATAACATTTTATGCGCCTGACATAATTTATTTAAGATATACCCCTATATAAACTTTATCTGAAAAGGAAAACTAAAGTTATCGTTATGTTTTTAATAATATTCGTCAAATTAATTGAAAGTACCTCGGTATATAGTTGCATCTGTTTAAATCAATGTAAATGTTTTAACAGAAAATTGACAAATTAATATGTATATTTGAACGTTTTCGTATTTCTACAACAGAGTTACTAAACTGCACGGACAGAAGAATCTCACATTAACTGCTAAGTCTAGATTTGTTTATATATTAGACATGCTTCCTGTGTGGAGTTGTGGTTGGGTAATTCTGCAGAACAATAGCGGTTATTGAATCAAGGGATTGTGTTAAGATCAGAGGTACCATCAAAATATCAAAGAATAAACATATTCGTGCCACATGTATGTAATAAATAGGGCTCACATACATGTTTACATAGTTGTGTAATTCAACTTGTTTTTCCAAACACTTTGAAATGGCACATGCCATGCCAATATACACAATTTCCATAGGCTGGATAAAGCAAATATAAATTCACACAATGAAGATTTCTCTACATAAAAGCAATATTATAATGTATTACATATTATATATCTCAAACAAGATAGTGATATCCTAAAAAATAACCAATTTTTTAAAAAAAGATTTTACTGTAATATTGAACAAGTCTCATAAAAGAATACAAAAGAAGATATCATCATATAAAGTAGGCACCCTTAAAGAAAAAATCCAATGTAAATTTTATCTTAGTAGTGTAGGGAAAAAAATAATACCTGGAGTGGCTAGCCTCACTAAGTGGTGTAACGAAGTTTTTAATCAGATTTTGTTTAATTTAGAATGTGATTTTCTGCAACTTTTGCATATGAATTTCTCGACGAGAAGCTGCTCCAAAGTGGAAAAGGAAAATGATATCAAGCTTTCTTTGGACATCTTTTGCAATTTTTCTCGTCTTTATAACAATATCAGGTATGTTCCCAGGTAGCACAAAACATTTTCAAAACATTTTATTGGTGTTGTAAAAAGGTTTTTTCGAAACATTTCAGACTAAACATTTTAAATATGTTTTTAAAACATTTCCTTTTCTCATTATAACATTTTAAAAACATTTTTAAAATGTTTTCAAGAAGCTTATGATTAAATCCTTTTGGAACATTTTTCTAAAATATTTTTGAAACGTTTTAAAAATGTTTCAAAAGGTATGTTTAGCTTTCAAATATCAAAGATTTTTATATTACGTTTTAAAAACGTTCTAAAAACATGAAATGAAACATTCCTTTTCCATAAATCTGAAACATTGCATAAATACTTTTCTGAAACATTTGGAAGGAACGTTGTCAAAATGTTTTTGAAACATTCTTAATTCATTTAAGGGTATTTATAGCTTTCAAATATTAAAGATCTTATAAAACGTTTTAAAAACATTCTAAAAACATGAAATGAAACATTCTTTTTCTGTAAATCGGAAACATTCCATATACGTTTCTGAAACATTTGTAAGGAACATTTTAAAAATATTTATTAAACATTCTTAATATCGCTGTTAGTTAAAAACATTCAATTCCGGATATTTTTCGGCCTAGGCAGTGAAAATGTTTATTTAAAACATTAACTAAAATAATTATTTTCACTATATTAAAGTTTTTGTAACATTTTTTGGAAACATTTTCAAAATGTTTCTGAAACATTTATATAATTGCGGCACAATTTAATTCATTTAGTAACTTGAGAGTATGTTGTGAGAATGATTTTAGAACATTCAATTTAATGTGTTTTCTTTTTTTAAAGACTTCATTTTTCATTGCTGCTGTTATTTTCAAAAAGATCTTAAAACATTCAAATAATGTATGATTGCGATTTTCCTAAAATTTAGTTTATGAAGAAAAAAAAAGAATATATAGAAAGAATAGTGTTAAAATGAGGAATTGTAGTATTTTTTTCATAGAAAGATTTTTTCCAGTATTTTATAATGATTTCTAGTTTTGGCTTATTGATTAAACAGACATAATTTATATAAAGTCCTTTGATTAAACAAATAAAAAAATCAATGAATGAAAGGATAGGCAAACAAAAAAATTTAAAATTTAAATAAATGTATAAGATCATAAGCATTAAATAAAACTCTTAATGTCTTTTTAAAAAAATGTTCTTCATCAAATCTGTGATCCACTCCCATAATTTTACTCTGAGGCATTAGATAGGGATTGGCACACTGGTCAGTTTCAGTGTCATGATAACCTATTATGCAATTCTCCTGCTGGGCAGCGCGTTACAGAGTATAGTGGTTTGCTGCTTATCTAGGCCAAATTTTGAATTCTGGTAAACAAGATGTGCGCGCTTACTCCGTGCCGATTTGAATGAGAAGACTTTGCACCATATAAACCACAATAATAACCTCGGGATTTATTAACTTTGAATGGTAAGAATTATTCCTTTATCATAGACTTTAAAAGATCATTTAAAATGACTTTTATACTACCAGTGCCTGATCAATAACTTTGTTCAAATGTATGTAGCAATGACAAAGCGTTAAGGTTATAAACATGTATTTGATTTTAATATTTCATTCTTAAGGCAACACAATTATATCCTTGATTCAAGTATTCAAGTATTCGTTGTCTTTGTGAAATGTTAATCATCAAACAATATGTCGATTTATAAATGAAATTTCTTTACAGCATGGTGTTGGTTGCATCATCCGTATTTTCAAATTCCCCCATTCAAAAGACCCGCCTTTGGTGAAGGCAAAGGTGTACGTAAATACTATTACTCTTCAATAATATTGTCATAGTAATTATTTTTCTGCTTTTTTTCAATGCAAATGAGGAAAGAACTTAAATTTAATATAATTATTTAAAATATTTTTTGTAATTTGTATATTTTCATTGATTATCTTCAGATACATAAGATGTAGAACGCTGATATAAACACAATTTTCCTTATTTTTACAGATGGTGCTATTCTTTCCGAGGGGCAGATTCCTTATCAGTCTTTTCAGTGTATGTGATTCTAACTAAGTCTTATAGATCCGCCGCTCTATTCTACCTATATAGTGAACATAGGATTTCTGTGATTCTGTTCTTTTAAAATTCAGTGAATGGATTAGACGCCGTTTTCAACCTTTAAAAACCCGGTGACTTGAAAGAAAATAAATTAAAACTTGTACCGAGAATGGAATTTAAATGTGATTAACATATTGAATATGGGTTTGTATTAAAGGTTCAAAAATTAAATATATTTTGTGTTTATTTCTTTTAAAATATAAATATATCATTATTTAATGAGAAAAAGTAAACATTCAGGAAAAATACTTTTGTAACCTCGACTTGAATGTTTTGAAAACGTTTTAAAAACCGAACAAATAAAATTTTCTGAAAATGTTTTTGTTACATTTAAAAACAATGTTATGATAACATTTGTTGAAATATTTTGTAAAATGTTTTAAAAACATCTAAAAAACCATACAAAATCACGTGATTAAAACATTGTTGAAAAATGTTTTTGTAACATTTTAAGAAAATGTTCCGAAAACATTTGCTGAAATATTTCACTAAAATGTTTTTAAAACGTTTAAAAAACCATACAAATTCACGTGATTAAAACATTATTAAAAATGTTTTTGCAACATTTTAAGAAAATGTTCTGACAACATTTTGCTGAAATATTTCACTAAAATGTTTTAAAAACGTTTAAAAAACCATACAAAATCACGTGATTAAAACATTTTTTAAAAATGTTTTCGCAACATTTTGAAAATGTTTTAAAAACATTTTAAAAATGTTTTTGTGTTAGCTGGGTTAATAATTATAGTAAGTTAAAAAAAATAAAATTATCTAATTAACAAGCTTTGCTAAAATATACATGTATATTGAATGCAACACTAAAAGAACTGTTACGTTTTCAGAAACATCTTTTATTTATATATACCAGAACCGAATTGTTAGTTGTACGAAAAAGTATAAAAAGTATTCGAAGTCTTTCTTTCATCTTTATTTCTTGGAGAAAATCTGCAGCATGAGGATCTACGGAGGAATTTTGAAGTACAGATATGTAAAAAGAATGAAAAAGAAAAAGATTTCAAGTAGCTTTTATGAAATGAACCTCTCTCTCTCTCTCTCTCTCTCTCTCTCTCTCTCTCTCTCTCTCTAATGAATTATCAATTCCGGTGATGTAGTTCTTTGGTAGATGCAATTGCCTTCTCAGCAAATGCAATTTATGATTAAGTCAAATATTTACTGACGTGTTTCATACTTATCATTGACCCATTATTTACTCACTGAATTTACAATATATTTTTCCGTTATTTGTTATTTTTCCATCATGAAAAGGAGCACACGGCGGGTGTGTGGTACCAAGCGGCGTCAGTTATATATTATGATAATCTTTTACAAAGATATTATCTTTACAAAGAAGATGAGAAAGTAGTCCTCATTAAAAAATTTAATTTTTTCTACAAGTTCACGATTTGAAATAAAGCACTTATGACATTGACATAGTTGAAATTGACGATAGAAACAAACACGATAGATACAAAATTTTGATTTTTCCGGCACTAATAAAATGCGATTTTTTCCTTGCTTCACAGTGCAATTGAGTTATCAAAACTTCCTTATATTCATAATTTATATAAAATTTTTGTTTTCAAATAACATTAAAAAAGAAAGGCCTAATTTTGAGTTTTGGATGTAAAGTTATACAAGTGTAAACTGGTATGCAAACTTAAACAAATTGCAGTGTTCCGTAAAAAAAAAAAAACTGAAAAAGCCAGTTTAAGACCTAAAACATTAAAATATCAAAATGGTCCTGAATGCTGACTGACGTGTTTTATACTAATTGTTAGTCCATTATTGTTATACACTGAATTGACGACGGATTTTCCCGTTATATTCCGATCATGACAAGGAGCACGCGGTCGGTATAACCGGTCAGCAGGGGATGCTCACTCCTCCATGGCACCTGATCCCAGCTCTGATGTTTCGGAGGTCCATGTTTGCTCTCCTCATATTTTCGATTGTTTTGTGGACTTTGATATTGAATACTGTTCGTTATCTCCATATCCTTCTTAAAACTACGAATTATTTATTACTGCAAAACAGTTCTTATATTTTCTGTTGTTTTTTTTTTTTTTAGAAAGTGCTTGCACCTTCCCTTCAGAGATCACAGGCGACTGGTACAGCGCTTATAAGGGCAAACTCTCATTCAACTCTACTCATTTATTGGGATATCCAATTTATATGTCAGCCTCCCGGCAGTCGTTGGACTTTGAATGTTACATAAACAGAGACAAAATATATGTTCTGAGGTAACTTAAAGTATCTTCATAGATATCCTTAATGAATTTGAATTATTTATCTTATTAGTAAAAAACATAAAACTATTTTTACGGTACAGTGCCTTTAATCATCAGGGTAACTATCTTGCTACACCGCTTTCTGTGAACAAAAGTTGCGTTCTCGATTCAAGATCGCGACTTACCTAAATCGTTAAAAAGCAGAAACTCGTCTCTCGTCAAACGCTTTGATTGGTTGACTACTGTGTAATGTCAAATTAAAGTTGATGCTTCATTTTAATATTATGATGCCTCTATATGAGTGAAAATTGTCGAATATGAAGCAACGGCCGATCAACCATTTACTGTGAATATAACAAATCACAAAAACCACGGTGTTTCAGAATGTTTTCATTATACATAACTATTATTTGTGGAAAATCGTTCTACCCACTCATATATAAGTAAGTGAGATTTTACCTACTTTTCAAAAATATTATCTTCCCTTTTAACGTGTGGTTAAGACGAGATAGGGCATTCTAATTTGACGTGCTTTACCTGTGACAAAATATTAACCAGCGTGCAATGATTTTTACCCCCTGACCTTGACTTTCAGATTTGACCTAAATATTAGAAATTTTAATCTGGTAATAACTTTAGAATAATTTAATTTTAGTTGTATCACGCCATTTGTTTGGATCAAAGATTTATTTAATATAGTATAACATTACATATGACTGCGCTTGACGTTACTTTTTAACTATGCTCAGTACTTAAAGCCATTTTTGGAGGATAATTTGCATGATTGTCTACACTGAAATTATATTACTAGGAATGGACCTTATTTTAGCCTATTTTAAAAGGTATATCATAACTTTAAAAAACCGCATAGAGACAGATTCTTTAAAAAAGTATAATTTTGATATATCTTAGCATTGTAACGTAGCATATATTGTATTATAACATAGGTTAAAATCAACTTCATTCCTTAAACGAAGAATAATAGGGCGTTGACATTGGACACGATAAACAATGGTATCCCATCAATTAAGATTCCTAAAGTGTTGGAACACAAATTTCTCGATTTTTGTAAATATATTATTTGTTTAACAGTAGAAAACGATTATTTATAAATTTTTAAAATTTTGATTTAAGAGCAACTCAAACAGCCCTTGTGTTTGGTGAATATATTCGTGGTTATTTATGTATAGAACTATGGAGAGTTTCTAGCACAAAGTATTATTATTACCACGGAACAAGTAAGTAATACATTGTCCAATTAAATACAATTTAACTAAAAAAGTAAAGATAAGAAATATTGATTCATTTAAATCAACTCCATGCATAATACACCTCTCTGATAATCCACGCACCTGCAGAAAATCCAGAGGTGGGATCAGGTGCCTAGGATTATGGGACCATCCCTTCACATCCGTCAATATCTTACGAGGGCCATTTTAAAAGTTCTGGCATCTGTTTATTATTAAAAAAAAGTTAACCTTTTTTTCGGAATATATTGAGTTTGATATTGAAATGCCCCTCGTTTATCACTAAATGAGGGAATCTTTAAAATAATAAAAATTCATCCTCAATATTAAAGTGGTTTTAAACGTAAGCTACTTGAACATCTAAAAACCTAATTTTCCAGACATAAAGTTATGATTTTAGTTTAAAGAGTTTAAATGGATTTTTTTTTTCAAACAAGAAAGAATTGATTGATGTTTAGGAGCTTTAATTGTTTTTAGCAACCTCTTCGACGAACGGCGACCATATTAGAGGAGTAATTGATATCTTTAATAATGGGACGTTAGAAGAGATCTGTGACGTAGCAGAACCATACAGAAATTCATCGTTTGTGATGCTAGTTAAAGAAGGTAAAGTCGACATCTAAACCTATGTTTTTTATCTTTGCGTAATCGAGTTGTTTTATGTGGATATTTTTTTTCCAGAATTAAATTTATTTATATTGTTATGCCGTTTTCTGCACGTACCTATCCAATTTATTTTTAATATTGTTTTATTGCTCTCTTTTTTGTTTGTTTGTTTGCTGCACTTTCGCAGCATATTCTACTTCACTGAAAGGCAACGCATAATTGCAAAAGTAATAAAATTCAGAATCAGTGATAAATAACAATCTTGTGTTCCTCATGAATCATCAATATTATCATAAATAAATATCCATAAAGGAAAATGATCCTTATTTGTTGATGTATAAATTCATGTACATTTATACCTTTCCTTAATATTTCACCGGATTACATGCACAAGCAAGCTCCTTTTCTTTTTCTATAAAGTTGGCGAGATATCCTTAAACATGATTTTTTTTATATTCTTTTAAAGTCATTTCATGGAAATTCTTTACCTTTTATGAATCTCCTTTTAAAACTAATACATATTGAATGGACTCATGTTTAGATTCATGCAATATATTTTATAATTTTATGAATACTCGGCCTCAGTGTCTGAACTGTCTTATGTAAGGTTCCATTGCGATGCGGGCATCAGCAGCTACCTGTGCGACCGATCTTCTTGCATCATATAGATCTGTTTCAATTAGCGACTCAACCGCAAGTACATCATGCTCCAGTAATACAATGGATGGCTGCACCAAAAGAACAGAGATGAGATTCACTTACGGTTCAAGATGTGGAAAAATACACAAGTTTTCAAGTGAGATAAAATTTCTATAATATTTTCATTTACGTGCAATAAATCCGTTTTTAATTTTTATTTTCTGCATCTGAAATCAAGTTTTGGAAAGCAAGAAAAAGAAAACTCTGAGATTCTTATTCTAGTCAGTAAAAATGCATGTAAACTATAACAAAATAAACAGTTTAATAATGTAACAGCTAATGGTATTTGGACGTGTGTGCATAGTATAAGCAGTGGGGGATATACTTATCTCTCGCTCTGGAACAATGATCAATCAGTTGTGGGGACCACCTCCCATCGATACACTCCTGGAGTCAACTACCAGTTTGCCTGTTTAGTAAGTAGCACAATTTACACAAAACGGACGCCATAGAAAACCGTGCGTATTTAAACAGTATAAAAGAAATGTATGACCTCATTTTCAAAATGCAATTAAGTACTTTAATTAAAATATTATCCATTACAGGTGATCAGTGGATCCTCAGCCACCATGTATCCAAACTATTGCTCGGACAATACACAGACAGCAACAACAGTGGCTCCTCCAGGCCTCAGGATGTTATTTACAGGGGCTACTTCTACTTGTTGTAAGTCCCCCCCCCTCATATTGACCAGCGTTAATAAATTAATTGTCTTATAGTGTCATATATTGACCAAAGTTACGCCGTCGTGTCTTTGTTTTTCAAAACGATACGGAAAGAAAGAGGAAATGCTCGAATTTGCGAGGTATTTTGTAAATTGTATCTCTTAATAGAACATTCATGTTAAATAAATAGTGAAGAATATATCAATAAAAGATGAATTCTTGTTGAACTATCATTAAAACTGTATTTAGAAACTATAAAATAGAGAAAATGTTTCCAAATATTGATTCAGAAAGATAAATTGGTAAGTTAAATTATTTAGTGCATAACATACACATGTAATGCCAAAACAACTGAATATTTGTCGCTACTTTTTGTCATTCTTCACAATGTTGATATTTAACAGATTCGTTTCTGTCCATAAAATATACCCCTTTTTATAACTTTATATGGTTATAACAGATTTTGCTGTAATAATATATTTGTTGACACTTATAAAAGTATCTTTAATTTTCAAAAATCATATATTTCATTTAGCATTCTGAAAATTAGATGTCAACAGTCCTCGATGCAATGTCAGGCTTTTTTAGGTATCTTTTTTAATATCATACTCTATATTCTTCAGCCATGTCCGGTTAACTTTTTACTGTATAGATTATGTACATTATTTCGGATTATGTTGAGAGAAATCGGAATTGTTAGAATTCGCGAGATTTTACTTGATTGCATTTCTGACAATAAACAACCAGCACCTTGACTGAGGTAAGACAAACAGGCTAGAATATCTTATTTCTGTTATTGCACAAAGGCACTATTCTTTATGCTTTGGTACAAGTTCTTTTCAGGAAGAAAATATCTCAAGCTCCACTAGAAATATGAAGTATACAATCGGACAAGAAAATACAATGTTCAATTGAGACATGTTCTGATAAGAGGGCGGGCCAGCATTAGGGATAGAAGGAATCTTCTAAACGTGTGTACCAAATGGTGCCATATAAATAAATATACAATGTACAAAATTGACAACACTTCCAGGATATATGTGTCGTATTTATTTCAGATTACACTTAGGAATAATTACACTGTTGACGAGAGTATTTGTCACTCCATGGAAAGCCCAATGCAACAAGAATGCCACACTACTCTTCGATCGGTATGGCTTATCTTATGCATCTAATTTCTTTACAACAAAAAACGTAATAAAACATATCTATTAATATATTGAAATTTATATTTGTTTAAAATCAAAAGAGCCAACAATACAAATGCATGTACAGCTTAGATTAAAGACCGAGATTGGGTCCTTTAACTCCATGAAAAGAGATGTGATATTTTTTTTTTTCATTTGAAATAATTAATAAACATCTGTGGTTTTTAAAATGACCTTGTTTTACGGGATTTGCATGTTTCGCAAATTTTAGCTTAGTTTTTGTTTACATATCTTATTATTTTGTATCTGTTATATCCAACTCTTTGAAAAGGTGAATATTGCTTGGTATGTCTGTACCGTCTATTTATCTGCTTTGGCTTAAGGGCAGATAATACAAACCATAAAAGGATACAGGTATCTATGATTTGAACTGTATGTTTTGGTTGTTATATTTTATTATTTAAAAATAGAAACTATTTAGAAATTGAAAACTTTCTATGATGTTCCAAATTGTACTTTTCTTCAACCATTCTTATACACATATTCAACCTTTTGTTACTTTTCAGGAGTATTGTTATAACAGAATGTCTATAGTTATGAAACCAGTATGCATAAGACAAGAATGCATCAAAACTAATATTACTAATAAAGTGATCTGTAAATATTGCTCATTGTTCGAAATATTATTATAAACATCTTTTTATATGATACAGTTCTTTCTTATTCACATGCTCGGGTGTATCAAATTTGATTGCCGAAAAATTTTATAATAAAGATGTTTTGATCGCTTAAATTTATTTAATTCTTTCCGTATTTTAGCGACAATAATTTTCCATTCTAGGATATAATGAGAACAGCACGTACTTTCTCCAGACATATTCACTGTGTTATTTGTTCAGAAAAAAATCCACAACCACCCATTTGCGAGTCCATCTACACGTTCCGAGTGTTGTACATGTGAACAAAGATAATAGAACTATTGTATTGATTTCGAGTAGGTTACCTTTTAAATCAAAAGACTCCAACGGTAGGCATCGATATTTGTGTAGCTTAGGGATCAAAGTAGGCATTCAATCTAGGATGACTGGCCATTTCATAGGATTGACTGACGTAACGTCGTAACAACCTGAGCAGGATCACGTTTTTCTAACACTGGACAAAAAAAATGCCCAAACATTTATTGTGTCTCTTTTTCGGAGAGGCAACCGTAGAAAAAGTAGTAGATGCATACTAGGTCTACACATTTGCTAGTTGAAGGTTTCGGATCTGTCTTATTCGAATTGGCTTTTGATGAGTTTTACAAATACCAGTCATAAAATGTTACATTAAAAAAACTTTTATTGGAAACATTTTGCCTAAAAAAAACAGTGTTTATTGACTATTCAAGAAGGATATGGAGTTAACGAACAGTATTCTTTCTCAAAGTCCATAAAACAATACAAAATAGGAGCAGAGCAAACAGGGACCTCCGAAATGTTAGAGGTGGGATCAGATGCCATGGAGGAGTGAGCATCCCCTGCTGACCGGTCACATCCGCTATGTGTTCCTTGTAATGATCAGGAAATAACGGAAGCTTCCGTCATCAATTAAGTCTATAAATTATGAACCAACAATTGGTATGATAAACGTCAGTCAGCATTTGACTCAATGATAATATTCCAAACAATATTTGAATTTTTCTCTCTGCCTGCCTTTAAATCCTCCTCAGGGAGGAGAGGTGTAGACCTATTATAGAACACGTAAAAACAAGTACAAAACTGATTTTTTTTTTTAGAATAAAAATTGTCTTAACGTCATCAGTTTTGATATTTTTAACTTTAAGCAAGAAACTAAAATATTCGGTTTTCGGCGCAAAATATTTCTAATTGGTAAATTGTATAAAAATACTCAGTACATATATATGATTATTATATGTATATCTATAGCACATAATTATATATATATTTCAGTTATTTTTAAAACAAAGATTTTTATTTTATTTATCACGTTTTTTCAATGGTTGTTGAAGTTCTAAATTGAAAAAAAAGTCTTTTTAAGTTACATTAGTATTAATTTTAATGCTTGTTTGGTTATTTAAATACACTCAGATTAATCTCATTTATTTGTCACAACTCCCCACGAACTAAGATCCATTTTTGAATCAGCACATGTAATTGTTGACCTGTAGAAATAGAATTAATTGTGTAAAAACTCCCTGAATGAAATTCATTTATCAACTAAAGCCACGCATGTTTGTTGTACAAAACTCAGCTGCAATAAACAATATATTTTACTATAGTCTCCAATTTCAGTTGAATAATTTTACTTTTCTTTAACACTCTTTACAAGCAATGGCGGCAAGAATAGTAAAAGCAATTTAAAAGGATTTTTCGTCTTGAAAATTTCTAATAATTGTTTTGTCCTGTGTACTCAAGGGTTATTATATAGATATATACATACGCCTGATTGATTTTGAAAACATCAGCAGGAACGTTTGCCAGTGGATTCGAATCCTCACTGAAAACTTCGCATAATATTTTACCAAAGGTCATCGATTTTATGGCAGAAAGCTGTTCTAGAATTAGAGAAACGAAAGTGTAAAAACACAATTAAATCTAGACTAATAACATATACATAAAAAAATAAATTATTATCTTATACCGATCTGAATAAAGATCTTTAAATTTTTATTAAATACAAATAGACAAACATCATATACAAAACATGGTGTTCGCTAGTCCGAAATAAACATGATTATTGTAATCAACAAATACAAGTTTCAATTTCTGACAGTTCTTATACTATATTTAAATTTCTAATTGTTCATCCATCCTCATACCAAAATTTTAAAAGGTCTATCAATGAAAACATTCAATATTATAATCACTCACCGGAAGTAAATCTGACATTGGGATACGAGTTTAAGTTTTCGTACCAATACCGGTCGCCATACTTAAGACGCTGAAACTGTGCTGCGATAATACAACCGAACAACGGACCGACAAGCCCATCTGGTACCGCTTTTTCTGATATTCCCCCCGGAAATAGATCTATATCACCTATATTCCTAGAAAGATTAGATTATCGTTAATGTTATTTTCTTAAAATCATTTTACAAATAATGTATATTGATTTTTTTATTTGATGAAATTCCTTAAAAATGTACAGATTTACAAACATTGGGTTATATTTCAGAATGACATTAAATAGATATTGCAAACTTTTGATACTTGTAATAATAAAGATCATGAAATGACGATCATGCTTTAAAATAGAATTTGAAATATTGGATTGTCAACCTTTGAAAATTATACATTTACCCGCCATATATTTCCATTAACTTATTCCTTCGCTCATCCTCGTGATCAGGGAGCCCCTCATATCCTTGTTTACACCTCTCTTTATATTTGACGTAAGGGGCCAGTCCATGATCCCGCCCTCTCTGTATATTTAGTGCAGGCAAATCTAAGCCTTTATCTCCAGTCTTAAAAAGGCGCTCTCGAATTCCCTCTTCGAATCGACTAAACATAAATAATCAAAAAAAAAATAACTGTGAGAGCAACAATATTCGTGGGGAATATTTTTTTTTATTTTGTCTTTATCAATTATCGATGAATTTAAATATCACATAAAATTTTATGACTATTTCGTGAAAAGGGTTACATTCACAACAACGAATTGAAAGGCAAACGAAACTAATGATGATAAATCTACGAAATTTTATCCCAATGAAAATTTGTGTTTTTGCAGTATTGATCAATTTTAACGTGTTGGAAAGGAAGCTGTTCGATTATGATAGCTTCAAAACCTTGAACTGGTTCGAAAAAACATAATCTGCTCTAAAATCATTAAAATGGTCATATGTTTAAAGCTGAAATTGAAGCATCTGTAACCTTCACTCGTATAAAGAAAAGCCCTAGAAGCATCTTTCATGTATCTCGGATAAGTGCAATGCATTGTTGTACTTAATGAGAAATCCTCATCAAAAACTCTTATCTGGGACGCCGACACTGACGCCGAAAAATCGAGATCAACAGCCCATGTGCGATTTGACGTCTGTGATTCTTTTTGCGACATGACGTTCATGAAAAAAGCATAGTAGATGACCCAAATGAATGAAACATTACATGTTGATTGCTCATAAAGTTTTTATAGACAACATACCTATCCACTTTTTTGGCGGGTGTTCTCATTAAATGTTCTGTTAATGATCGGAGATTTCCGCCTCCATCAGAAATTATTTCTTGTGTTTCCATTAGGACATCATCAATCTTAAATCTTGCATTGTTTATTTCCAGAAAACCGGGAATCTAAAATTTAAAGATATTAAAAAATATTAAAAACTTCATCACTAAAAATATGAAAATGGTATGCTGGTAGGTTAAGGCTTCCCAGAGATATTTGCAGTGTTCTCTATTCATTTACTTACTACAAATGTATGACCGCACAATTGAAAATGAGTCAAGTCATTGCATGCATACTTGCGCTGTAATAAACTTTGCATCTTATTTCAATCTGCATATAATGTATCTGAAAGCTAATGTGAAATAAAGTGTTCTGATCTTTTTTTAACAATCTAATATATCCGAATATTTTAGATAACTTTGCTTTTTAACTCTTGTTTAAATATCAGCGTGTTCAAAACAATATTAGTGAACAAAAATTTAAGTTTGACACTAACCCTTTTTAAAACCTCCTGAATAGCAGTGAAATTCATAATATGTGTATAAAAGAGCCTGACGCAGGTGAATAATTAGGATTTATTTATTCAAAATCTGTTGTGGACATCTGTAAAGTGAGTTTCCTATCTAAATGATTTTTTTTTGGGGGGGGGGAATTGTATGATGGTTTTGTTTTACTGCAGATGACGATATTGAGTGGGAAATACCCTTAAATTAAGAGTTGTCGGTAAGTTGAAGTTATTGTGAAATACATTGTACTGAAGTATAGTTGTATCAATTTTCCTAAGCACATTTCGGGTTTACAAGGATGGGCGAGATTATTTTCTTGAACAAAATTTTATAATAATTGTGTTAATCACCTGCGCGGAAGCGAGCTGAATAAAATGTCTAAATCATGCTATGGATAAAAATTGTTACTGTTGAAATAAAGATCAGTATCTTTTATCCCACCATAAAATTAACATTTTAGGGCTGGGGTGTAAACAGGAAGAGGACTAAAATAGGCTTTGCCTGTTGCCCAATCCCATTCACTTATGTGAATAAAATTTTGTATAAAAAAAATCCATATAAACTTTTATTACTGGTTGAAATCCCATCTACCTGTGGTCATGAACAGAACTTAATGGAATCTAGTCTACAACTTTCATATAATTACTGCAAAACATGGCTTTGTTCTTCTTCCTCATTGTTTTGTATAGTGATTCCGTTCTTTATTACTAATCAAACTCTGCTTTTCTTGAGATTATATAAAATTCCATATATATTGTAGTGTATTCCTATGTAAACATTTTGACCTTTAAAGGTACTTGGACATAGACTTGAAGTTATTATTTTCTCTATAATATTACTAATATATTTTAATAGCATTTCACACAAAAATTAATTAAAAATCTTATTTCGTTTAAAAGATATTGAAATTTCAAATTTTTCGGCGGGTTTGATTGACATATCGTTGCACTCTCACAAATTTAATTTTATTCTTAATCCTTAGGAAAAGTGGCAATCTCGTTTTGTATAAATAAAAAATATTAATACTATAATCCAGAAAATTCAGAGTAGACACGTTCGAAAGCAAAACAAACATACAATATATTGTCAGTCCGTGCAGTTGTGGTAAGCAGACTGTGACGATTGAACGCACCCGGTGAATTCTAAATATAAACAATACATGTAACAGAACTCCAGCCCTGTTTACAACAACTGTGTATATAATACGAGTGTGCTCGATTTGCTAAACTCTGTACGCATCTCTTAGTTTGGAATGACAAAACATGTGAAGGTGTTTTGCTTTCTAACATTTCTACTCTGAATAAAATTATTTTTCTTGATAAAAGTTTTAATATTTCTCATTAAAACACATCAAAATTGCCACTTTTCCTAAGGATTAAGAATAAAGTTAAAATTTGTGACAGTGCAAGGATGTGTCAATCAAACCCGCCAAAAAATTTAAAGTTTTAATAACTTTTAAATGAGATAAGATTTTTAATTAATTTTTGTGTGAAATGCTATTAAAATATATAATTCGTGATATTATACAGAAAAAAATGAGAAAATATTAACTTCAAATCTGTGTCCAAGTACCTTTAATTTGGCTCAGGGGATTGTTTTTAGAAAAAGGTATCTACATACCTGGTCATGTCCGTATCGAAAAGCAGCTGTTGAGAACTCATTCAGAATACTGGGATCTATAGTGTCATAGTACCGGAAGCTGGATTCTTGGCCCGCTGGATAAGAATACAGACGGTATTGGTTCATTAACCCAGGGCCGATAACCTTAGGAAGCCAATGGTTGTATATAATATGCTGCATGACCGCTCCCATAATGCGTCTCGTCTCAAGATAGATCGTATTGGACGTCCATTTTGGATTTAGGATATTCAGTTTTTTGGCCAAAATATTGTGGAAGCGAAGGAAAAGTGTGTGCATTAATCCCAGGGAAGGTACCTCGTTGACTCTAATGTCGCCTGCATTAGAAAATATGTAACATTAGTTAAAAAAAATATTAACACTAAATCTTGTTAGTGTAGCTGATTTACACGCACTGAGTTTATGTTTTATGATTTAATGAAAACCATACTTTTCATCCAATTTCCTCCTTTGTATGGAGTGATGTCAGAACTCTTAATTTTTTTTTTTTTGGGGGGGGGGGGGGTGGAGAAGTGTGATTTCAACTAAATATCATATAAAATGTAAAATACGTGATTGCTTGGTCATAAAGTCTGACAAAAGAATATTCTTTGCTTTGTGTTTTGATTTTACTTATCAAGCATGTGATGTGGTTTATCACTTTGCTAAGGCAGAGGTTGAAAATCATATATCAAAAAAATCGTATCTACAAAAATGAACACACAACGGGTATGACTGGTTGACAAGGAATGCTCACTCCTTCATGACACCTGATTCCACCTCTGAAGTTTTTAAGATCCGAGTTTATTCTGCTCCTATTTAGTATTTTCTGATGAACTTTTGAGCTTGAACAATATTCATTATTTCTCTATTTATCATCCAATTACTATTTACGAAAGATTCAATATAAACACATCTATACTGTCAAGTAAAGTTTCTAAGAAATAGTAAATATATGCACAGGTATTTTGTGGGGGTTTTTCGTATATAAATTGAAAATATTATCTGGTTCGTTTGTGACAAAGTAAACCCTGTGAAAAGCATATATACATTGAATCATACATGCATTATATTACAATATTTCCATTTATATTGATTTCTTTATTTTCTTGAATAACACTTTAAAAGTTAAGTTGATTTCTAAATTACTCAACTAAAATGTAAGTTTTGCAAAACGATAGGACAGATCTCGGGAGGCCTAATGTGTATGTAAATCTGGAGCTTCTGTCGTCTACACGTCTGAGCCAAGGGAGACCTAATATACATGTAAAACTCGTTAGGGTGTCTTTGTGTTTGACGTCAATGTGCGAGGATTATTATGTTCCCCAAACGAAGTTGGGGAACATATTGTTTTTACTCTGTTTCTTATTATTATTATGTTCCCCAAACGGAGTTTGGGAACATATTGTTTTTACTCTGTTTCTTATTATTATTATTTTTTTTAAGGTCTTCCGTTTCCAACGGAAGACCTTCTACTGATTCGTTTGTTTCTTTTCCACTATTATTATTATTATTTTTTTTTTCTTACCGATTTTGTGCAGGCGATTTCTCGAGAACGCCTCGACAGATCTTTATGAAACTTTCAGCAATGATGGCAAATCATATGAACTTAGGGCGTTTTTATTAATTTTGCCGTCGTCACTTCCGGTCGCGAGATACGGCCAATTTTCTTTTTTTAAAATGTCATTTTGTCCGGAAGTGTTCTCAAAAACGGTTTGAGATTGAGTCTTGAAACTTTCAGGGATGATAGATTGTGACAGGCTCTCTTGAATTTTGTATAAAGTTTTTGTTGCCGTCACGTCCGTTGTCCACCGGAAGTAGTTTAAAAATATGCAAAATTTTATTTTTTTCTTTTTTAAATGTTTCTTATATAGGCAAATAGAGTGTCTCGAGTATTATTATGTCCACCGGAAGTTATTTTTTCAAAACCGGAAGTAGTCCAAAAAATGAGCATTTTTCATCGAAATTATCAGGGATGATTCCTTCACAATCAGAGAGGAGTTATAGGTCATTTTTAGTACTTCCGGTCACACCGGAAGTGAATAATAAAGACCGGAAGTTGTCTGAAATTTACATATTTCACTCTTAAATGTGTTCTTACGTATTTAGAGGAATTGATATGAACTTTTTTTTCATTTTAAGTTGTTTTATGATCGTATCTAAAATCGAACGGAAGACCTACTCGTTGCTTGCAACGAGATCTCCTCTAGTTTTTTTTTCTTATTTGTTCTCCGGTACTTTTTTGTCCGCGAGTGTTCTCAGAAACTGTTCACCCAACTGACCTAAAACCTTTTTAGGGTTAATAGGTGTGTAGTGTAGGTGTGCGGAACGAAGGTCATTTTGCGCGCATACGCATGCACGTGCGTGCGCGTGAAATGAGTGAATTGACTGATATACTTAATATAGCTATAACTTTTACATTTTTTGATGAAATGATTTGAAACTCATTATATAAGGATAGATTAGTAGTGTAGATAATGTGATACTGTCAAATTCGCACGAACTCACGCGCATGCACGTGCGCTTTGCTCTGATTGGCTGAAACAAAAATCTCAATATCTTCTCTGTTTTTTGACGAAATGCTTTGAAAATTAAAACATAGGCATGCTTTAGGATATTCTACAATATGGTATATAAGAATTTTCATCAAATCACGCGCATGCACGTGCGCTGCAATCTGATTGGCTCAAACTTTAAATGGCTATAACTCCCGTGTTTTTCAACCAAACAGCATGGGATTTAGAACGTAGACAAACATAATGGACTCCTAGAAGAAGGTATAGTCATCATGAACATACTTGCACGTGCATGAACGTGCGCTTCGCTCTGATTGGCTGAAACAAAAATCTCAATATCTTTTTTGTTTTTTGGCGAAATGCTTTGAAATTTAAAACAAAGGCATGCTTTAGGATATCCTACAATATGATATATAGTAATTTTAATCAAGTCACGCGCATGCACGTGCGCTGCAATCTGGTTGGCTGAAACTTTAAATGGCTATAACTCCCTTGATTTTCAACCAAACAGGATGGGATTCAGAACATAGATAGATATTATAGACTCCTACAGCAGGGAATGGTCATCATGCACATGCATGCACGTGCGTGCACGTGAAATGAGTAAAATTCCAAATACACTAGATTCAACATATTTTTGGATTAAATGCTGTAATATTTAGTATATTAAAATATATCAATAGTGTAGACAAGATGATATGGTCATTACGCACATGCATTCAAATGCGCATGCGTGCAATGCTTAAATTGAATACTTCTGGTAAAACTTTGTTAAAGTCTTAAATGTATCGCGTTTGTCTTATTTAATCAAGCTTACGGGGAATAAGGCAACAAAAGGGAAATGGGGAGCGTTTGGGGAACATCTGTAACGGTTCCCGTTACAATTAGCACTAGTTATGTTCCCCAAACGGAGTTTGGGAACATATTGTTTTTACTCTGTTTCTTATTATTATTATTCTTTTTTCTTCTTATTTCTTCTCCGGTACTTTTTTGTCCGCGAGTGTTCTCAGAAACTGTTCACCCAACTGACCTAAAACCTTTTTAGGGTTAATAGGTGTGTAGTGTAGGTGTGCTGAACGAAGGTCATTTTGCGCGCATACGCGTGCACGTGCGTGCGCGTGATATGAGTGAAATGATTTATATACTTAATATAGCTATAACTTTTACATTTTTCAATGAATTGATTTGAAACTCATTATATAATGATATATTAATAGTGTAGATAATTTGACACTGTCAAATTAGCACGAACTCACGCGCATGCACGTGCGCTTCGCTCTGATTGGCTGAAACGAAAATCTCAATATCTTTTCTGTTTTTTGATGAAATGCTATGAAATTTAAGACATGGGCATACTTTAGGATGTCCTAGAATATGATATATCGCAATTCTCATGAAAACACGCGCATGCACGTGCGCTGCAATCTGATTGGCTAAAACTTTAAATAGCTATAACTCACTTGTTTTTCAACCAAACAGACTGGGATTTAGAACATAGACAGACATAGTAGACTCCTACAAGAGGGTATGGTCAGTATGCACATGCATGCACGTGTTTGCACGTGTACTTTGCTCTGATTGGCTGAAACAAAAATCTTAATATCTTTTTTGTTTTTAGACGAAATGTTTTGTTTTTTTAAACATAGTCATGCATTAAGATATCCTACAATATGATACATAATATTTTTCATCAAATCACGTGCTTCCACGTGCGCTGCAATCTGATTGGCTTAAACTTTAAATGGTTATAACTTCCTTAGTTTTAAACCAAACAAAATGGGATTTAGAACATAGATCGACATAATAGACTCCTACACGATGGTGTGGTCATTATGCACATGCATGCACGTGCGTGCACGTGAAATGAGAAAAATTAGAATACACTCAAATGAGCGTTTTTTTATAAATATTTTTGGAATAAATGCTTAAATATTGTGTATATTTTAATACATTGAAAGTGTAGACAAGATGATATGGTCATTACGCACATGCATTCACATGCGCACGCGTGCAATGCTAAAATTGAAATATACTTATAATACTTCTGGTAAAACGTTGTTAAAGACTAAAGTACGAAGAGTTTGTCTTATTTAATGAGGCTTACATGGAATATGGCACCAAAAGGGAGTTGGGGAGCGTTTGGGGAACATCTGTAACGGTCCCCGTTACAATTAGCCCTAGTTATTATTATTATTATTCTTTTTTCTTCTTATTTCTTCTCCGGTACTTTTTTGTCCGGAAGTGTTCTCAGAAACTGTTCACCAAACTAAGTTAAAACCTTTTTAGGGTTAGTAGGCATGTTGTGTAGATGTGCCGAACGAAGGTCATTTTGCGCGCATTCGCGTGCACGTGCGGGCGCGTGCAATAAGTAAACTGACTGATATATTTGATATGGTTGTAACTTTTATATTTTTTGATAAAATGTTTTGAAACTCATTATATAAAGATATATAAGTTGTGTACATAAGATGACATGGTCAAATTTGCATGAACTCACGCGCATGCACGTGCGCTTTGCTCTGATTGGCTGAAACAGAAATCTTAATATCTTTTTTGTTTTATGATGAAATGCTTTGAAACTTATATCAAAGACATGTATTAGGATGTACTATAACATGATATATAAAATTTGTCATGAAATTACACACATGCACGTGCGCTGCAATCTGATTGGTTGAAACTTTAAATGACTATAACTCCCTTGGTTTTCAACCAAACAGCATGGGATTTAGAACATAGATAGACATAAAGGATTCCTACAAGATGGTATGGTCACCATTCACATGCATGCATGTGCGTGCACGTGCGCTTTGCTCTGATTGGCTGAAACAAAAATCTCAATATCTTTCCTGTTTTTTTACAAAATGCTTTGAAATTTAAAACATATGCATACTTTAAATTTTCCTACAATATGATATATAATAATTGTCATGGAAACATGCGCATACACGTGCGCTGCAATCTGATTGGCTTAAACTTTAAATGGCTATAACTCCCTTGTTTTTCAACCAAACAGGATGGGATTAAGAACATTGACAGACATAACGGACTCCTACAAGAAGGTATGGTCATCATGCACGTGCGTGCACGTGCATATGAGTAAAATAGGGTAGACAAGATGATATCGTCATTACGCTCATGCAATCACATGCGCACGCCTGCATTGCTTAAATTTGAAATACTTGGTATACTTTTGGGAAAACGTTGTTGCCGTCTTAAATGCATAGATTTTTCCTTCTTTAATGAAACTTACAGGAAATGGGACGAGAAGGGAATTGGGGAGCGTTTGGGGAACATCTGTAACGGTTCCCGTTACAATTAGCACTAGTTGAAATTGACATGGGAGGGCTCGTGTAAAAAAATTATTTGTCTACATTTCAAAAATTCAAATATTTACTTAATAGAGAGTGCAAGGGACATCAAACGTGGATAAATATGTTGCAAACTTTCGTTGATACCCTTACATATACTTTACTAACTAGACATTGATTCCTTAAATATAGCAACATTATTAATATTTGGTTCTTTCCTGATTACTCTCTAATCATGCTAATTAGAGAATGACTAGTCCTTAAAATTCAACGAAAAACAATATTTAAATTTTGCCCCGCACAAGTATGGAGAGGTTAAAAAATATTATAACTTCAAATATGGGCCTAAACGTGGTTTACCGCAGGATATCGAGTGGGAACCTATCTTAAAACATCTCCTTGCACAATTTTTTTAGTAAAAAAATAACTAAAGTGCTTTTCTTTATGATATAGAGATATTTTGAAAAAAAATCTGTTTTAAGGCAAAAGAACTGACGTCCATCTTTCCATAGAATTAAGTGTGTAAATTGTATATTAAATCATGTTATTTAGCATCGATAGATTAAACTTTATTAGCTCAATTTAATTAAATATTTTCAAAGATTCAAACCTCGTCTTATATACAATACATTTACATATAAACCCAAATTTAAATCTAACTAAATTTCGTTTAAGGACATGACTCACCAGCTAGCTGACAAAAGGAAGCGTCTTGTCTTCCATCTTTACAATGATTAGGATTTCCTCGCGGAAGATTACGTCCCCTGTTGGAAGACTTCAATAGACCTTAAAAAATACAATGGAAAATGACGACAGATATACAAAATTTGTTGGTTTTTTATTTTTCTATTTCACATAGTAGCTAGGAGCAGTAAAAGCTAAGGCCAAAGGCTGTTTGTATTCCTAAAATTCTTACATTGAGCTATGTGTTCCATATAATATTCAATAATAAAATATTTAAATTAGGCAAAGAAATCATATGTGTATTTTTATAATTCTATTGTGATTGGCAAAATGAGAATTGAATTAATATTTAATACAGTCTGTAAATAAAAATTTATCTGTTTCCAAAATACGCTTGTTACAAGACGAGATTTTCACTTTTCTTTTACCATAGACGCCAGCATCCACAGCTTTCGACACGATTAAAGTATTCCCATAAACATTACCACAGTCTATGAAGGACGTCAACTCGTTAATCTGTTCTCGGTGATCCGTCCCTTTAGTAAAATGTGTGATTTCATTATACGTATACAACACAACTTAAGGTAAAACCTACTTTTTCGCAAATATTACATTTTTATAGCTTCAAAATAAATGTTCTTAAATTATCTAAACTATACTGGTTTTAGTGAAAGATATAATATATAAAAGGGATAATTGGAGGTTTGTTTCTGCCGATAAGTACCTCCGACTCAATATAGATACAATCTTAAATTGCATAGATATACTTGATACATGATTTATCTCTAGATCTCTTATCTCCATGCTATATATGAAAGGAAGGAAATGCAAGAACATGTACATAATATTCTTTTACAAAACACAAACATTAGACAAATGCTTTTTAATGAAAAAAATGTTACATGCAAATACATTGACCAATGACCATGAGTTTCAGATTATTCATCTCATTTTAAAAGCATATGGATGATAAAGTTATTGATAAATTATTACAGTACCACAAGTATCGGGTCTTTTTGGCTCCTCAGCTGGTGCGGATCTAACGAAGGGCATACACTCCTCTATTGCTTGAACGTCACGTATAATAGGGAAACATCCAGTCCTGTTCAAACATTTTTTTGTTTTGGATAAATAAATAATATTTGCTTAATGTAATTTCTTTGTTTTATTCCTAGAATTTAACACATCTATTTTGTCACATTTCATAGATAAATGTTTATGAAATATTGTGTTTTTTAAAAGAAATGTATTGGTAAGAATATGATGTGTTGTGTTTGTAATTTGTTACAACTTAGAATATACATTTAAAAACTTACAATATATTAGGTATGCAAGTGATAAAAACTTACGATATATTACGTTTGTATTTCTCGTCACAGCAAGGAAGAGTTTTGCCACCTTCATCTAAACGGAAAATTGTTGTATTTTAACTTTGTTTTACTTATTATGATTTCATTTCGTTTTTAGAATGTACACCATGCATTTCGTCATTATGATAATGTTTGTTGAATCACCCTATCATGATGCCATATCTTTACAGTGTACATGTTTTGGAATACTTTTAAAAAAAGTAGGCTAATCTTCAGTTATCACCAGTTTGGTAAAGTTTTGCATGGTAAATGGTAATTTAGCCTTCGAGAACCAAACATTGTGAAATAAACAGAAAGAAATAGAAAGAGATACCCATTGTTGGAGTAAAAGTCAAATCGTGGTCCACGAACTGGCCGAATGACCACAGAAAGAGAGAGTGTTTGTCATCGTCGTCCGTTTGACCGCTCTGTTCAGAGAAAAGTCGCTCACTTATTTCTCTAGGATTAGGTAGAGGCTTAGGATAGATCCGATATAAACCACGAGGCGTGGAATGACCTTTAATTGGTAGATTATGATATAAATATATATAATTTGGATTGGCAAATGGCATATACATACATATATAAACATATGAGAAATATAAATAAAAATTAACAATTTTATTTCTCTGTTTTAAAGACATGCTACATTTTCTTGAATTTGTACAAAAAAATTGGAGATTTTTTTTCCGATCAAATATTCTATTCACTGGATACTTGTAGCCATTAAAGAAATATTATAGACGCGCTTAAAATCTATTAATTTTGGCTTTATAGTTCAAAGAAAAAAATTAAATACTAAATTGATGAATTATATGTATTTCATTTGAATGAAATATACAAGTAGCAGTTCAAGTATATGTCAATTTCAATCGTAATTTAAACCTTCCTGATTAAAATAAAATACATATAAATAAAATCATATTGCCCTTAAAACATCTACTTTACCATCTCAATAAGAAATGAAATGTTACTTTTTTATTTAGATTAATGATTTTTATTTAATTATTGACCAAATATGCATTTAAAAATTACGAATTCTCAACACACACCATCCTCGTAATAGGGAGGAATCATTCTCTTCTGGACAGTGCTTGCAGCCCCCCAGCGTGAGTTGATGAGATTGTTACACGTGCCGTCCACTGTCCGATACCTGCTCGTGCGGGCCCAATCACAGTTGGGACCATCGTGTGTATTACATACTATTCTATTCAGGTCTTTGCTGAAAGGTGATTCTGTGAAAGTACTCGGCTTAGCTAGGCTTAATGTGTTTCTATAAAAAAAAAAAGAATCTTATAGAAATAGGTTTGTGTTTTAGGGTGCAAAAATAGACAATTTGGATGTTGGAGTTGTAACACTTAGAAATAAAATACAACTTTATATTACATCTAGATTTAAAAAAAAATCGCTGATGTTCTATGCTTCTTGTGTGCTTTTGGAAGTAATGATATATCGCCAATATGAAGAACTTACTTACAGGTCACAAAGTTGCTGGGAAAACTCCCTCAAAATGCTCCATCTTCGGAATGCCTCTCGCGATGACGTCGACTGGGTATGTAAATTAGCGAACACAGTTTGTCTGATGTTGTGGACATCGATATTATTCTCTTCACAAAAAACTATAAAACAAAAACAACATCACTAATTACTTCAATGAAAATATTAAAGAGAGAGAGACCTTATCAAAATATACCACAAAATTACTCATTTTGAAATGTTTGTGTATGTTCTTTTTAGTTAAAATAAAAGGCAAACACCATCTTCACGAGGGAAGCAGACGTCCTCTCGCAGAACTTGATTGACATCTGTCCTTAATGACTCGAGGTATTGTTGCCATGGTTGCATGGAGAGAACATCCCTCCTGATCAGAGTAACGAGAATCAGTAAAATATAACAGCTGTGTCCTAAAATAAAAGAGTAATAACTCAAAATATAATGGCTGAATTCAGAGTAAAAAAAAATGTATCCGGAACTTTGATTAATTCGTAAATGATATATCTTACAATAAAACCGCAGAATACAAAAAAAAAAAAAAAAAAAAAAAAAAAAACATACAAGTAGTATTCATAAAATAGCAGTGTCTGAAAATATAATTCTATAAGTGTCCCAAAATATAGCAACACAAGACAGTTTAAGATTTCTTATATCAACGCAATTGATTTAAATTGTGTCATTTACAGGAAAATCCTATCTTTATATTAATATAATTATAAAGCAAATTATAGTAAGATCTTTCTTTCATTTTTGCTAGTTTGAACTTATAATATATATATACGTCATATATGACTGTAAATATGACAAACGCAATAAAAAATATAACTTTTTGTGTGCTTATCTTACATATATATAAAAATATATAATGAAGTAAAACATATATATTCCAAAAAGGTAATCATAATGTACATGTTTTTTATAGCAACGTTCCAATACATAATAAACGTTTGGTAAAATATAACTGTAGAATGATATTATTATGACAACATCATACTAATAAAAGTTGCATATATTTGTATACTTAAAATATAGGTTTGAATCTTAGAAAATAACCACAGTGTCTTAAATCATAGGTATACAGTATCATCAGAATGTTCCAATATAACCAAAGAAGATTTCCTTAAAAGGAAATAATTTAAAAACATAGCTACTCAGGTATTCTGGTATAACATAGGGTGGTAAAATTTATGCTTCATAGACAGGGAAGAAATTAACTTCGCCAATCCAAGTTATATTTGGTGAATGCATGGGTAGCCTTTCCTTGTTATTTAATCTTCAATCATTTAAGATAATTTCTCAATCAAAAACCTTCAAATTGTATATATTGAAAGTGTAACATCATTGCAAAGAAGCAGTACCGGTTAATGTACGACTTAAACTAATTTTTTAGCCAGTCAAATGACGCGTTACAACTAAAAGTAAATTATTTAAAAAAAAAAACAGTTAAAATCGTACTTATATACATGAAAAATTAAAATCCTTACATATATGTATAACTGCTCCCCACTTCAATGAAATGAAACATGCCTATAACCAGTGAACATAAACATAAATGACATAACGTTAACTATTGAGTAGTTAATGTTTACAGTGATCCAACCTTAAAACACAATTAAATTCTACATATTACCTCCCCTATTTTCTTTCTTATCTGCTGTACAAAATCAAAACTTAAAATCTTCTGAAAACACAAAAAAATGATATTTTAGAAACAAAAATAAATTTAAAGCTCGTAGCAAAGTATTTTTTCACTTACCAACCATGATTAGTCCGTCTGAAATGATTAGTTTTTAATACGCATTTATAAACTGAAAAAAAGTTATTGCAATCAATTAAGAGTTATTCTTTTTCATTAGTATTTCTCTTGATATCTATCTAAGATTAATGACCTATGCATTTTAATGTATCATATAAAATGCGATACATATACTTATGTTTATGAAAACACCGTCAGCCTAAAATGAAATTTATTGATTTTACTTTCTAATTTTATGTGAGACCTTTTGGTTAATTTATTTAAAAATGGTTTATACACTGTACCATGACAGCTTTCATCAAATTTTGGAATGGAAATATATTTAAAAAATATTATATTTGTTGCTCAATAATAAATATTTTTTTTATTAAAAATATTCCTTTAAAGTTTTTTCTGTTTTATAATGATTTTTTATGGTTTGATTTCTCCAATGAATGATATGGAGATAACAAACATTATTCAATATTAAAGTCCATAAAACAATACAAAAAAGGAGCAGAGCAGACAAAGACCTCCAAAACATCAGAGGTGGGATCATGTGCCATTAAGGGGTGAGCATTCCCTGTCGATCGTTCACATCCGCCTTGTGCTCCTTGTCATGATCGGGAAATAACGGAAAAATCCACCGTCAATTCAGTGTATAATAATGGACAAACAATTAGTATGAAAAACGTCAGCCAGCATTTGACTCAATGATAAATTGTATTTGCTGACAAGGCCATTGTATCGACTATAGAACTTACGAAAGGATAACTTTAAACGAGACTGCTAATATTCTTGTTTCATCAACTTGTTTATCAAAAATTTACCTCGTTTTAGAAATTGTTCATGCGTAGAGCATGCTCTAGCGCATCGAATCAGCTGAGATATGTAAACTCCGTATGCAGGTGATGAAGTTGACGATAGAAAAATTAAAGTCATCACGTTTATCATAGAGCTTGGTTGTTAAATTTCCATTAGTGTCTTTTTCAAGAAAAATATCCAAGTATGTAAAAGATTTATCAGACTCTTTGGTATCTTTTAACTCAAGCTCACCAGTATATATCGTATTGACATAGGAATGAATATTACCATTGTTAATTGACAATACGCCCTCGATATATCTAAATGTCGAGTTGAAGGCCACAGTAAGAGTTTTCTTCTTTTCACACATAAGATTGTGCACAAATTCTGTTTCATATAAATACAAATTGATATATTTACATTTGCTGTGTTTTATTTAAGGAATGTTTTTAAGTTTTGTGTGAGTTACTGGTGTGAGAATCACACAGACTTGTCACGTAGGCATATTTAGGCTTCATGAAAAATATGCCTACGTGCAAGTCTGTGTGATTCACACATCAATAATTCACACTAAACTAAAAAACAATCCCTATATTTACAATTTACTTGTTTGGGAGCACTAAAAATATACCAATATTTGAATATCTCGCTGCCCTATATCGTTGCACTATTACGAAAATCATTATCAAATCAATTTACATTTGGCTCAGTAGAAAAACACAGCGAATGTAAATACCAGTAACTGTGAATCATCAACTGTGAAATTGATCTGAAAACCATTTTCAATTTGACATATTATCATCGCTAGAAATAAAGCGTTCAAAAACGTGCGTTGTGTGACTTTGACAAATAATCACATTTACTATGCTTGACGCTAATAAAAACATTATAAAAGTACAAGTGATAAATACACATAACACACAAACCAAATATTGAGTAGTTTGTCTTGCTTATAAAACATGTAAAATGTAAATATAAGGAATGATCTTTAACTTTTGTGTGATTTATTGGTGTGTGAATCATCATTTTAGATTGAAAAATAAAGACAACTTTGATTATTGTTAGCGCTTTAATTGTACATTTTTTCGTTAATTTTGGTTTGTGAGCAATTCAACGTCACTCAGATTAATATTTACGTTATTTGTATTTATTAAGGATAAGGCGAGAATTTTAATTTAAAAAATCAATATTGCTAAAATGCTTCAATATATATTAAATATAAATGAATTATCATTTTTTGAGTGTTAGTCAAATGAGCCAATCGCTGCTTGAAAACAAATTTTCAAGTTAACGTGATACTCAATTTGTTTGCACACACCATTGCAGTTATGAGACTGCATCTTTCAAAACATGATAATTCAATGCTTAATTGAACACAACCGATGAATCGTAAGCATTAATAACTACGTACAGAGTTTGTGCCCTGTTTACAAAACTGGTTCATGTTTAACGGGCTTATTCAGTTTTTTTAAACTCTGTACAGAACACTGAGCAGGGATTAACGATAATCGTGAGGGGAGATTACATCTGAACATTTTTATTTTGAATTTTCTGTATTATAGTTTTAATAATTTTCATTAATACACAGCTAAATCCCACTTTTCTTAACTATGATTGATTGATTGTATACTGTTTAACGTCCCTCTCCAGAATATTTCACTGATAAAAATCACCATTGCCGGTGAAGGGCTGCAAATTTACGCCTATGCTCGGCACTCAACCATTGAGCAGGGATAATTTACTTTTAAAATTAAAAAAGTCAGGTTACGCAACTGGAAGAACCATTTAAGGCCTTTTACGACAAGCAAGGGGGTACTGAACATAGGATCAGTGCTCTATGGAAGAAAAAAAATATAATTTATTTAAGTTTAAAGACGTGTCAAACCCGACCAGAAATTCGAAGTTTTAATAACTTCGAGATAAAATGGGATTTTTATTATATTTTCTTATGAAATGCTTCTGCTAGATATAAGTCGTAATATTATAAAGAAGATTTGAGAAAATGTTAACTTCAACTCTGTTTTTATGCACCTTAAATGCATGTAAATTGATGTGTGCAATTCAAACAGTATAATTAGGAACACATCAGCATATTTATTAGTTATGTACGCGCATATCTTTTTATTGATTATGGCAATAAAAGTTAACTTTGTTTCTATTTATTGAGTATGAAAGTGCAAAATATCATTATGATCTGCAAACGAAATGAAGATTGTTGATTCCTTTTGAGTGATAAACGCTTTTTCTTACATTATTAACTTTATCTTGATTGATTAAAATGCTGAAGACTCCAATCTCGAATCTACAATCATCATTTTCACAACTCACTCTTTTTCTCAGAGCGCACTTTGTGATAGAACACGAGATTTGTCGCCTATCTTTGATTGAAATGTTACTTATAACTATACCTGTATATCCTTTAATTTAATTGTATTTTAAAAGCAGAATTCTGTACAAGGTGAGTTTTTTTAATTTATTTAATTTACTAGTACTTCTTTAAAAATGAGTAATATTTCTAAAAAGATATTCCTGCTGTTCTATTTTAAGACCAATGTAAGGGGGGGTCCTTATATTCACTTGGAAATTTTAAGACACGCAGAAGTTTTTTAACATAGAAATGGTTCTTCAATGTTGACTCTTAGGCAAGAAGAGTGATGGGAATTATACAATCATTTTTTTTTTTTTTTTTTGCATCGGCTGATCACATATTTTCTATCTTTCCAGCACAGAATACATGTATGTCAACAAAATTAAAATTTATAAAAGCTTTTACATAATAAACTGACTGTGATCTCAGACTAAAATGCATTTTGCCGACCCTTGATCCAAACTGTTCGCCTTCATTCCAAAGGTCTCAAACAGACAA